GGAGGCAGGGAGGCAGGGAGGGAGGCAGGGAGGGAGGGAGATTCACCCTGATCGAAGATTCCGAGAGGGAATAGGGGTGCCCTGAGGCTTGCCACAACCTCAAGCTGTTATCATCCGACGCTGTCAGCCAGGCGTCCAGCTCGTCTATCCACCGGATCCTTGTCACCTCGTCCTCGTGCCCCTTCATCACCCCGCAGAGCTCGCAAGTCTCCAGCTCCCATATGTAGCAGAGCTCGTCCGCCGAGCATGTGGCGAAGGTGTCCATCCTCTCGGAGCTACTCACGTCATAGATCATCGACTCGTGTGCGTCCTCGATGGTCCTCCACAGCGTCCCTGTGTTGGAGTCCCAAATCTTCACGCTCTTGTCCACACTGACGCTGATGAGGAAGTGCGCTAGCAAGCACATCGCCGTAATTTTGCCCGTGTGCCCTTCCAAGGTCATCTTCACGGGGTTCAGAAATTCAGACGTCGACTCCCTCTCTCCCTCCTCCTCCTCCTCCTGCTCCTCCTGCTCCTCCTGCTCCTCCTGCTCCTCTCCCCCGTCTCCCCCTGCTCCCCCTCCCCCTGCTCCTCCTCCGCCTGCTCCTCCCTCTCTCCTTGCCCCTCCTGATGACGGGATATTATCTTCCAAGGACCAACCCCTTATCACCGCATCGTCACCTCCCGTGAACAAGATCGACGTGTCGGGCCTGAGTACCCCCGCCACAACCGACCCTTGGTGGTCAGCGAACCCCTCCTTCATGCTGTAGAGCTGTGGGTAGAGCGCATTGGGTATATACCACTTCCTGATAATGCTGTCTGCTCCGGAGCTCACAAAGTCTCCCGTCCTCGGGTTCCTGACGACCAACTCGACCCAGTCCGTGTGCCCATGGATGATGCTGATGCAGGCGAGCGAGTTGTAGCGCCAGATGGTGAAGTTCTTGTGATCTGACATGGTCACAACTTCACTGGCAGATGCCATGATCTTCACAGGATACTCGTTGTGCAGCGACTTGAAGTCCTCCGACTGTGGGAGGAAATCAGTCAAGTTCGTCCCCGTGCGGGGGTCGAACACGAAGGGACGGCAAGATCCCTTGATCCCCACCCACAGCGACTTCGTGGCAGGGATGCAGCACATTGTCTCCACCGTCTTCTTCAGCTCGATGGTATAGAGCGGCGAGAACTGAGCATGGGCAGTTAGCGCGTCGTAGCTCCAAGTCTTGACGCTCATGTCGTAGCTCCCCGTGATCAGTGAGTTCCCCTCGTTGTAGTATGCCGCGCACGTGATCGCTCCCTTATGGCACTTGGACTTGGCCCTGTTGCCTCCTGCGGTCATGACCACGAGCTTGTCCTCCACGTTGAGATCGAAGGCACACACGACACCATCGTACCCGCAGGAGAATATTCTTCCTGATGGCGTGCAGATAATCTCCGAGATGAACTCGTCGTGCTCCTCAAAGACTGACTGCGTGTTCAGCTCCCACTCGTCCCGCTGATGAAGCAGCTGGAGCACAAACATCTTCTTCATCCCACCCAGGACCACAATGTCGTGCCGTGAACTGTACCCGGCGCAGTAGATCGCACATGGAAACTTGCTCCTCACCACACACTCCCCCTTCGCGTTCCAGAGCGCAACAGTTTGATCGAGAGACGTCGAGAGCATCATCCTAACATGGTTCAACCACACCAAGCAGGTGATTCTTCCCTTGTGAGCATTGATGCATGACTTGCACTTGCCATCTTCAAGGCTCCAAACTTTGATCAGCTTGTCGTCTGCTGTCGTGTACAGCTCTCTTCTCTCAGGCGCCACTCCTATCGTTATCGAGTTCCCCTGTCCCCCGACTTTCTCCACCTGCACATGGACCTGCATCGCCATATTTCCACTCGCCGATTCTATTCCTGGCAGTTCCCGGGACAGGTCTCGCAATGCTTCTTACCCTCTTCGATCACCTGCGACTCAATCTACTTCTCCTCTTTGCATGAAAGAGCACGTGGGAACGAGAGAGAAATTTTGTTCGCTCCTCCTCCTCTCCCGCTCGCCACCCTCCTTCCCCCTTTCCATGGCGCTCCGTTGGAACCCCCTCATCCCCTCACATGCCGGAATCCTGGCCGCCCGCAGGGCCGCCCGGCTGCCAGGGCAGCTGCCAGGGCGGCTGCTGGGCCCGGCCGGGGCGGCTGGCTGGCAGTGGGCGGCCGGGCTGGGCGGCGAGAATGGTCCTGCGCCGCGCGCCGTGCCGCTGTGCGTTGAGAATGGTCCGACGAGTGAGCCGGGCTGCACGCTGTTACTAGTTAAGCCTGAAGGTACTGAGGGTTGGTTCTCAATTCATGTCTTTTGTCTGGTATCAGGGTCAAGCTAGCTCTTTTCTCAAACGGTCACTATACCAGTAATGGCTTTCAACTTGCAAGATCATCGAACTTCGGACCGTATCGTCGGACTCGAAGCACGGTCCGATCTGGTCCTTGATTTTGAGTGAAAAAAGCAAAGCATACCTACTTCAGTCGGACCGAATGCGGACACTGTCCCAGTACTCGACTCTCCTGATTGTCCTCGTACTGAGTAGCACTGAGGCCCGCCCGCCGGGGCCGGGCTGGGAGCGGCGGGCCAGTTTGGAATTTGACAAGGCCCGTCACAATCGGCCTCACTCTATCCGGCGATGGGCCTGCTCGCTAGAGCCGCACAGACTGAAGTCAAGTTGTCATACTTCACTTGATTGAGTTGTCATACTTCACTTGATTGAGTTGTCATACTTCACTTGATTGAGTTGTCATACTTCACTTGATTGAGTTGTCATACTTCACTTGTTTGCCAAGAGTAGCCAGCTGAGCTGTAAGGAAGACTTCCCGCACGGTGATGCTTGCTGTAGCACCTGCACTCACTGCGTCTCTCGCCGCCTGTGACCTGAAGTCTTTGCTGTGACAACGATGTTTGGCGGGAGATCTTGGTGGATTCTATTCCTCTTCCTCGTTTCTTGTCACTTGGAATTCTCCTCTTGTCTCAGCGTAGACGGAGTCATCTGGCAAGACAACCCCCTGGCCGGGTTGTCGAACAAAATCTATGTGACCCTGTCTTTCAACGAATCAGTCCCCTCAGGAGCAATCTTCACCATATCAGGCCTGACCGGGGCAACCATCGCCTCTCCTGTTCCACTCACCACTTCAAATGCTGGCACTGGAACTGATGCGTCCACTTACTTTGCTTGCGGAGCCAATACTGGGTATGGCTGTTGGAGCTCGGTTGACAACTCTATGACGCTGCAGTTGAAGCAAGCAATCAGCGCCAATGTCGTTTACTCTTTCAGCTTCGTCGTCCAGAATGGAGCCACGGAGCAAGGCAGCCCACAGATCTACTTCAAGTACGTGGAGGTGTACAACATGACCACAAAGACCGACAGCGCATATGGCGTGACCTCTGGCTCTTCGATCCTGCTGATCGTGATTCCAGCGTTCACAGTGAAGACGATTGTGCAGGAGACTTTCCTTCAAGGGCTGGAGAATGCGATTACGGCCACCCTGCAGACCAATGTCGCTCTTACGGCACAAACCTCGGTCATCATCACTGGGCTGAAGCCAACAGGAAATTTATCCAAGTCCAGCCTTACGTTGGCAGGAGCGTGCAGCAGTACGTTCGACGGGCCGGGAGCCTTCAACCCCTCTACCGGCACCTTGACTCTTACAGTTTCACCCTCAGGCTTCACGTCCAACACCTTGTGCACCTTGTCGTTCTCCATTCAGAATCCTCGGTTTGCAGTGAGTCCGCCCTCTCTATCGATTAGCGCCAGTGGGAATGTCAGCATTGCAACATCGACGTTCGACCAGACGGGAGTTGATCCTGATTATCTGCCGCTCTTTGTGCTGGGATTTGTCAAGAAACAGGTCCAGCAGTCCAACCCTTCTATCTCAGCTTCCAACACCATCACCGTCACGTTCTCTCTGAATCGAGAAATCAAGCAGCAAGTAGCTGTGGACACCGACAAGATCACCTCGGCCACCTTCACGCTGACCGGGCTGACAGGGAGTTCGACTCCCGATGCCACATCCCTTACCGTCTCCTCTTCCAACTTCTCCATCAGCGATACCACATGGACTCAGTCTACAGGTACCCTACGGTTCAAGCCGTCCGCGGACTTGGCTGCCTTCCAAGACTATGAGATTCATTTCTCGCTCTTGAACCCGTCCTATGGCCAAGATGCAAGGAACGTCACTATCACACTCGAAGCGATTGTCCCGGTCAAGTACGGTTCAAAATCAGCCGTGCTGGCGGTTGAGAGTTTGTCAAACGGGCAAGGCAACTTTGCGACCTTGCTGGTCGCTGACTTCCTTGTCAAGTTTCTGTCGCAGTCCGATCCCTCTGCCAGAGCAATCAACAAGTTAATATTCACCTTCTCCTCGAGTATCGACATGGCGGCTGCGGGCGCCCGAATCAACATCACGGGGTTTGACAACGCGACAAGCGCGAGTGAAGTCCTGACCTTGACAGACGAGAGCGCTGCCGTTGGAGGCGCCGCATCATCCAACATGTACTTCTCCAGCTCCTTCGGCGGGACAGCATCGACGGCTCTCTTCTCCAACGGCATCCTGTCGTTGTATGTCGTCGGCTCCATAAAGGCCCGCAGCACGTACAGCATCGGGTTCAGCATACAAAACCCTTCCGTTGGACAGTTCTCCCCGAGTTTCTACATCCGGTCCATAGGAGAGTATGCTGCTACCGCGACGCTCCTCGTAGGGAAGGCGCAAGGCAACAATGAACCCCTCCTCATAGCAGGTATGCTGCTGCTGACGTTGGCTTCCTCCTCACTCCCCTCCTCCCTCCCTCTGACACGCTATCCTATCCAGGGTTCCAGTATGCCCAGGTGTACCAATCAGAGCAGTCAGCAGGGGCTCCCAACCTGCTTATTGTGAGTTTCAGCCCTTACACTGAGGTAGTTGCTGGGAGCCAGCTGAACCTTCTAAACCTCGTCGGAGCTAACAGCTCCGACGGGGTGATACCCCTGACCGACGACTCCGCCAACTCCACGTGCGTTCAGCTCGGGAACTGCGCTCTGCACTTCACAGCCCCAAAGTCGAACATGTCAGGGTACGGCCTATGGACCCGCAGCCCTCCGTCTCTCACTCTCCAAGTCGTGTCGACAATCAATCAAAGTGAAATCGTCTCGTTCTCATTCACTGTTGTCAACTCCAAGAACGGCCAGCGGCCACCTAGCATAAGCCTCTCCTACACAGGCACCATTTCGTCCTCGTCCTTTGTGGCGGCCACCTCGGAGGGTCCAGCTGCGGCCCTTAGGATCGCGGGCTTCAATTATTCCTTCATGTCTCAGTATCAGACGGGAGCGACAGAAATCAATTTCTTCAATCTCACGTTCCAGAACTATGCCGTCCTCTTTGCCAATCAGACTGTCATCACTGTCAGCGGTACTCCTCCACTTCCTCCTCCTCCATCACCACTCCTCCCCTTCCTCCTCCGCTCCATCCCCCTCCTCCACTCCTCCTTCTCTTCTTCTGCTCCTGCTGCTCATCCTACTTCTCTGCTCTTCTGCTCCTCCGCGGCTCCTCTTCCCCGTTCCTTCATCCTTGTTCCCATCCTCGCCCTCTCACCCTCGCTCCCATGTCTTCCTCCTTGTATCTCCTTGACCTGACTTCTCCTCCTCCTTCAGGCCTCCTGAACACGCTGGACTTTGACCCTCCTGATCAGCGAACTCTCAAGGAGGAGCCGCTGCTACAGGGCACCCTCAAGCAAAGCACCAACGAGGACATTCTCTTTCTCGATCAGCCGTACAGTCTCTCCTTCTCTCCCGTCGGCTACCTCCTGCAGATAGGATCCGAGACACGATCGATCGTTTCTTTCTCCTCCGCCTACACCGTCAAGGTCTCCTCGCGCTTTGACGCCGGAATCAGCCAGTCGACTTCTACCAGCTACTCCATCTTGTCTGACAGCCTCTCCTACTTATACGAGCAGGCGGCATGGAACACAACAGCTGGGGAGCTGTACATCTCGGTGAAGAAAGATATTCCGCTGGAGCGCTACCTCAAACTCTCCTTCCAACTCAAGTGCGTACCGTCGTGATTGCACAGGGAGGGCAGGGAAAGGGAGAGGAAGAGAGGGAGGAAAGGGTACTTTCAGGACAAAGGATGAAAAGAAGAGGATAGGAGGGTGGGGGAAGGGGAGAGAAAGGGAGGGGAGGGGAAGAATGGAGAGGGGTGGAGAGGTAAGGGATGGAAAGGGGAGGAAAGGGGAAAATGGACTGTAGCGGGAAGAAAAGAAGAGTTGGAACGATTTTGATTTGATCTACAGAAATCCAACGGAACCTCAAGACGCTGCGATTGTCTACATCAGCTCCTCGGGGGTAAATTTGAATGATCCAGTGTGTTGATGTCTTAACATTGAAACTCTCCCTCCCCTCCCATCATTCCCTTCACGATCCTCTCTTCCTCCTACTACTTTCCCCTCCTCCCTTCCTCCTCCTCCCTTCCCTCTCTTTCGCACTCCTTTCCTCCCCTCCTCATCCCTGCCTAAAGGTTGCAAGCTCGAAGACGACAGTTCAGAACGCTCCGGGTCGCTTCGCTCCTCTCTTCATCATCGGCTTCTTCTACACCAAGATGTTCCAGAGTACAACCGAGGTCAACGCAAACAACAAGATCACAGCTATCTTCTCCACCACCGTCAACCTAGCCGCTAGCCTCAGCACTAAGATCTGGATCACCAATCTCACCGCAACTCAAACTCCCTCCTCCTCCTCCTTCCCTGTCACCGGCTCCCCCGCCGGTGTGTTCAGCCCCACGGCCTCCTGGACGCAGGACGTCGGGATCCTGACCATTGACGTGATCGGAGAGCAGGCTGACGTGCTGGTCTACACGCTGGAATTTGTGCTTAAGAACCCTCCGTCAGGTCAGGATGAGCCGTCAGTCAGCATCTTTGCTACTGGAACGACCATTTCTCCCATCAAGTTCGACTACGAGGTTGGCAACTTTGCACCCCTGCGCATAGGATACTTCACCTCCCTGCTAATAGCGCAGGAAACGCCGTCCGCGTCCGACTGGGACATTGGAGGGGAGAAGATTTCTAACTCGCTCTCTGTCTCGTTCGCGTCCAACCTCGTCCTGACCGCAGTCAACCGATCGACAACGCTGTTCATCAGTGGTACGTGCCTTGTGAGAGAGGATGGAGAGAGTGGAGGGGAAGAGAGGAAAGGAGAGGAGAGGTGAAGAGAGGAGAGGGGAGGAGAGGGGACGGGGGAAGTTACGAAGAGGAGTGGAGGGAGGAGACAAGGGCATGGCCTTACCTGAATGTTTGTCTCCCCCCAGGCATCGCTCCTCTCATCGCGGCCACGGGCACCATCATCAAATCCCTCTCAGCCTCATCTTTCCAGCTCGACGACTCGGCCTCCTCCTCCGACGCAGCATACAACAAGTTCACCTTCAGGATCAGAGACCAGTCTGTCGTCATCTCCAGCTACATAGGGAGCACAAGGACGGTGTACCTTCAGCAAAATCTTGACTTCATCCCGCTAGATGGGACAGATCGTTTCATCATCCAGAACCTCCAGAACTTCACCGTCCCCCTCACCCACAACTACTCGGAGATCGCCCGGTCTGCCTCCTACTCCCCAACAGCGCAGGAGCTGGCTGTGACGTTCCTCGAGGACACGGTCAGGAAGCAGCGGTACTCTTTCTCCTTCCTCCTCCTCAACCCTCCAGAGGGTCAACTGTCCCCCGACATCTCTATCTCCACCGCTGGTTTTGTCATACCCTGGACCAGGATGGAGAAAGGAGCAAGCATATACCAGCCTCTGCTCATAGCAGGATTCGTCTCTCCTCCTACCCTGCGGCAGAACAACCCAAACTCGGGGGAGACTAACAAGTTCTCCATCTCCATGCTCCTCTTCTCTCCCATCGCTGCCGACTCCGTCCTTGTCATCTCCGACTTCCACCTCCTCGATCCTGCAGGAACGGTTGTGGACCTGGTCACTAACGAGGATACGACCTGCGGTAACGTCAGCTGCGCGTTCTCCTTCTCCCGGGTCTTCTTCTCCTCTGCCAGCTCAGATGTCAACAATACCTTCAACGACTCGTTGCCGGGCACGGCAGGATGGAACGGCAGCCATCTCCTCCTCCACGTCATCAACGAACTTCCTTCCTTGGAGACTACAGCAGACCCCACCATCGTTCTCTCCTTCTTCTCTCAGAATCCTGTCCTCGGCCAGTGGTCAGTAGACGCTCAGATCAAGATCCTCGGAGCAAACAGCCAGGTGGCGCAAACTGCGTTCAGCAAGACAGGAGACAACTCAGATCCTTTTCTGATCGCGGGCTTCAGCGTCGCAACGGCAGCTCAGAGCACGCCGAGCAGCGGGGGGCAGAACAACATTACTCTCCTTCTTCAGAGCTACGTAGACTTGGATGAAAACAGCTCGTTGGTAGTGACCGGCTTCTCGCTCCCTCACTACAACGCCAGCCTGATCGCGCTCTCGCTGTATGATACACAAGCTACAAAGGCTGGCAGCTTGTTCTCTGCCTTGCTGCAGACGCAGGAAGGAACTTTGAATATCTCGATCAAGAAAGGGCAGCGAATGCTCTCTGGTGTGAACTACACCATCATGTTCCCCATCATCAACCCTGTTCCTCCTCAGTACCCTCCTACTCTTTCCGTTCACATTGTGGGCAAGGTCAGATCAGCACCCGTCGAGCTCTCATCACCTTTGTTGGACTTTTCTCCCTTGTTCATTGCTGGTTTCAGGACCAAGTACATGCAGCAGTCCTCTTCTTCCACCGACGACGTCAACTCTCTTACCACCACCATCAGCACAACTACCATGCTCTACAAAGGTACCCGGATTACCATCAAAGGGCTCGTAGAGACTGGGGCAGATACGGTCGACGGTGCTCGTCCTGTATCCTCGACCTCCTCCTCCATCTTCGCCACTGAAGCCCAGTGGACCAAAGTCAACGGAACTCTGGTGGTGACCCTGGCAGATAATATGCTTCCCCTCCTTGACTACTCCTTCAACTTCTCCGTCAGAAACCCCAAGCAGGGGCAGCCAGGACCCGCGCTCCTGATACAGGCGACGGGGCTTGTCAACGTCGGGTGGGTCAACGTCGACAGCAGGAACGACTCGTTCAAACCGCTCTACATCAGCGACCTTGTAGACATTCTTATCTCCCAGTCCACCACCTCCTCCTCTGCCAGGAACACGCTCACCATGATCCTCTCTCTCGAGGCTCCCCTCCTACCAGGGTTCGCAGAGTTCCAGGTCAGCGGGCTGCTGGGCTCGACGACTCCGTCCGGTCTACTGAACATCTCCTCCGACGTCGCCAGGGAGGGGAACTGGACACGGTCCTCAGGCACGCTCCTCTTCGGGCTCACCGTTGAGATGCAGCCGTACACCAACTACACCTTCACCTTCCAGCTCGACAACCCAGCTCAAGGCCAGGAGTCTCCCTCAGTCTCCATCGAAGTCCTCAAGACTCTAGATCTCGATCCGAGGTACTGGTCGGCTTACAAGAGGAGGATGCGCTACGACAGTGTCCTCAACTCTGCCCCCCTCCTCGTCGCAGGTCTGCTGTCTTCCTCCATCCAGCAGACCAACCCCTGCTGCTCCGCACCGAACAGGCTCAGCATGACCTTCTCTAGCCGCACCCTCCTACACCAAGGATGCTCCCTCACGGTCTCAGGCCTGCTCAACGCGCTGCATGACGGGAGCGTCATCGACATCCAGCAGCACATCAGCAATTCTACCGATGACTCCTTGTACTTCACAGCAAACATGTCCTCGAACTTGTCGGGTAGCGGACTCTGGCTGCAGCAGGAAGATGCAAAAGTGGTGCTGTACTTGACGCAGGACATTCACCGCAATCAAACGATCTCCTTCTCCTTCACCGTTCAGAACCCCAGCACAGGACAAAGTTCGCCTGACGTCGCCATGGAGGCGAACGGAGAAGATTGCGCGATCACAAAGACGCTGATCAGCAAGAGCAGCAGCAACCCGCCGCTTCTGATCGCAGGTGATGCAGAGATTGATTGCCCTTTTCATCGCCCTTCCTACTCTGTTGTCGCTCTCTCTCTCCCTCTCTCTGCTCTTTCCGTCTCTCTCTCTCTCTCTCTCTCTCTCTCTCTCTCTCTCTCTCTCTCTGTCTCTCTCTCTCTCTCTCTCTCTCTCCCTCCCTCCCTCTCTCTCTCCCTCCCTCTCTCTCTCCCTCCCTCCCTCCTCTCTCTCTCTCAACAACACTGACGGCGATCCAACAGGATTTTCACTCCTCTCCATCCAACAATCGTCCTTCTCCCAAGGAGCCTCCAACGTCATCACAGTCGCCCTCAGCCCCTACGTCTCGATCGCATCTCCAGCTGACCTCTACTTCTACGGACTCCAAGGCGCCTCCGCTCCCCCTGGTGTCATCAACCTCCTTGACTCCTCTCCCTCTACCGTCTGTGTCGACGAGGTCCAGTGCTACAAGTTCTTCGACGTGACGATCTTCGGAGACGGCCTGGCGAAGGCTGTCTGGCTCGATGCCGACAAGACCCTCCAACTTCGCTCCAACAGGCTGATCACCCCGCAGATGACCGTCAAGTTTTCTTGGGTCCTCACCAACGAGCTGGCAGGACAGTCCTCTCCTCAGGTCTTCGCCGCTGGGAGCTCCGGCAACTGCTCTCTCGGCATCACGCCCTTTACGAGTCCAGCTGGTGATCAGCAGGTCTTGCTCATCGCAGACGTTGTGGACTCGCTTGTAAGTCAGTCGACTCCAATCAACTCAGCTGTCAACACTATCACTGTTCGACTCTCCTTCAACTTCAACCTGGGACAACAGGATTTCTCGGTCCTCACTCTGAGCGGCCTCGGAGCCTCCTCCTCTGACGACGGTTTCCTCCCCATCTCCTCCCCCACAAATCAATCATGGCCAGCGCTCGGGGCAATAGCGCACTACAAGTCAGCGACGAGTTCTGTTGTCATGAACATCAGCAACGTGAGATCGTTTACCAACTACTCCTTCTCCTTCAACCTCTCCAATCCGAGCGCAGGGCAGCTGGCCCCAGTCATAGTGCTCAACATGTCCGGCGCCGCAACAATCATCAACAAAGTATTGAAGAACGACCTGGGAACCTCTGCTCCTTTCTTCGTCTACGGGTACGCATTTCAGCTTGTTGTTGACATGTTACTTCCTTGCGACCATGTTGTTCCGTCCCGTTTCTTCATCTCGACCACTTCGGTGTCTGCCTTGATACTTCTGACTTGTATTGCTCGCTCGATCTCTTTCTTCTCACCAGTTCTGAAATGTTCTCCGCAGTTTCATAGAGAAATCTGGTGCACAGAGCTCCGCATTGCGTGACGCAACGAATTCAATCTCGATCTATTTGACATCCACCGTTCTAATACCATCAGGGACGAAGATAGTTCTAGAGGGCATCAAAGAGACAAACTCCCTGGCTACAACTCTGAATGTCTTGATGAATGCTTCTTCAGCGTACTCGATCACAGCTGACTGGAACATATCTGGGACGGTGAGCAAACAGCAGTCGGTTTTCTTTCTCTGACTTGAAAGTAGCTATCCCTGACAACAAGTGCTGACGTTCAAGAGTTCCAACCTTTCCTTCTGACGTTCCAGGTTTCAAGGAACTCTTCTTCTTGCCCCATCTGAGCTTGTTGCCGCACAGGTCAACAACCCGTCTCTCCCCCAAGCAGCTCCTCCCATCTTCATCTCATCCTCGGGCTCCGATCCCTCCTCTACATTCCTGCCGACTCTTTTGGACAGTTTTCCACTACCAAACTCTCAAATCTTGCAGATCATGGGCTTCATCGAAGCTGCCGCAAGTCAAACGAACCCTTCCGTCCTCGCTCTCAACGTCATCACCCTTACTTTCTCCATGTACGCCTCACTCGACGCTTCTTCCCACGTCACCATCACCGGCCTCGCCGGCTCGTTCTCCAACAGCAGCATCAAAGTCCCGGTCATCGAGCTTACAGGTCATTTTGCAACCTACGGACTGTGGAACGAATCCAAGGGATCTCTTGTTTTGACTGCTGCCACTTGGACTCTCCCCGGCCTCTTGTACAACTTCACCTTCGAGCTGTACAACCCGCAGGCTGGTCGCCCAGCCGCAGCCATAGAGATCGAATCAGACTGGCCGATCCCACGGTATCCTGTCACGCCAGCAGCAGGGAGCAAGGCACCGTTCCTGATCCAGGAGTTCACAGTCCGCGAGATGTACCAGGTCAACCCCGGGGTGTCGCAATGGAATCTGATCACGGTAACGATTCAGTCGCGAACAGAGCTGCGTTCCTTTCCTGCAGAGATCAGCATCGTCTCGCCGGGGAGAGGCTACGTCCCTGGCGACCTCCTGCCCCTCCCCTCGGGGGCAGGCAGCGGCTTTCGAGCGACCTTCGACGTGGGTGACGCAGGAGAAATTTCTCAGATCCGCATCCTGGACTTCGGGGAGGGATACAACGAGAGCGTACAGCTCTACCCAATGTACCCCAACACATCCACAAGGATGGATCAGACTGTAACTGCGATCATCGTTGCTGCTGGCGGGGTGAACTACGTCGAGGGGGAGGTGTATGGGCAGGACACGATCGTGGGATCCGGGAAGTTCCTAGGTATCGCGCTAGTGAACCAGGCAGGGTCCATCAGCGAAGTCCGAATGGTCGACCATGGCAGCAACTTTCAGTCCAACATCTTCAACATCAACCTGAGGTATACGGACACGAAGGAGGTCATGACGAATTCGATCTCCTCAGTCGACATCATCGGGCCGACAGCTTCCTGCCTAGTGGGGACTGTGATCGTGGCGTCGAGCTCGTCTGGCAGAGACTTCAAGGCAGAGGTGGACGCGATAGATCCCTTCACTGGAGAGATCCTCTCCTTGAAAATCATAGCGCACGGGATCGACTACTTGTCAACTCCTTACCTCTATTCTGAGACTGCAGGCTGTTTCTGCACCGTTTCTCCTGTCAACTCATCCCTCTTGGATAAGTGCCTTGTCGCTAAGAGGGCCCACAACGCAAGTTTCTTCGCGACCGTCGGGCTGGATGCTGACGTTCAAGGGTTCACACCCACCATCAAGTTCTCAGGGCTGGAAGGGTACCCCCTGTGGACCACGGACAACATGATACCCATCAACAAGGTGGGCGGGACAGGGGTCCTCCCTACCTTCGGGCAGTACATGAAATGGGATGAAGTATCAGGGGAGCTAACTCTGGTAGTCAAGTCTACGATGCTTGCAGACGTCTCGTACGCCTTCGAGTTCCTCGTCATGAATCCCAGTGCCGCCCTCGACTCTCCCACCCTCTACATCCAGTCGACAGGCATCGCAAGCTCCCCGGCTATTGTCAACTCGTCGGCTGGCATTCATATACCTTTCTTGACTGCTGGATTCTACACCAACCAGAGCCTCTGCTGGCAGACGGACCCGGGGCAGAACACGTCCAACATGCTCACTGTCTCTCTCCTCTCACGCTCCGATCTCCCGCTCATCCCAGCGTCCTTCAACCTATCGAGCGGAGGGATAAACTACATCGCAGGCGATCTCGTCATCGACGGTTACAACACCTCAGACTTCCTGGCAAACTTCGACGTGGACGTCAACGGGACGATAAGCCGCCTGTACCTCCGATGGGTCAGCGACAGCTTTGCCTGGTCAGCTGGACTGCAGCTGAGCATCGTCTATCCCGGCACCTTCACCCCGCAAGGCTCCACAATCACCAGCATCCTCCTTGTCTCTGGCGGCAGCGGGCTGGATCCGCCCGACGGCACTTACGATGGGGTGGTCAACAGTCTGGGGGTTGATGGAAATGGTTTCGCTTGGTCCTACACCGTCCAGGGAGGGAGGGTGGTCTCTGCTGAGGTCAAGTCGGGGGGTTCAGGGTACCTGGTGTCAAAACCTCCGACCCTTCTCCTTAACAACGTGCACGAAGGCAATTCCAACAATGTGAAGCCGGTGATGGTAGTGCGATGCGCGGGAGGAGCTCAGGTCAGCTTGCTTCCAGCTGCCATCACCATCTCCGGGCTCGTGGGGACTGCTCTAGAGGCCAAGTCGATGCCAATCACGCAGAAATCCGGCAATGGGATCTCGATCTTTGATGCGTCCGCCGGGTGGAACAGGACGGCCGGCTTGCTTGTCCTGTCGTTGGTGAAGCCAGTCTTGAAGGATGTTGACTACACTATCATGTTCACTGTGATCAACGGTCTGAGCAAGCAGGAGCCCCCACCGATCTTCGTCTCTGGTCAGACAGGCATCTCCCTTGCGCGCCTGCAGCTATCGACCCTGCCAGGCAGGAACTCCCAGCCCCTGCTCATCGCTGGGGTCTACCTGGCTTCAGTGTCACAGAGCAATCCGGGTCAGGGAGCTTTCAACACCATCTCCATAAGTGTCACTTTCAACTTCGACGTGTTCCCCCTCACCACGCCGACCAACCTGACCATCTCCGGCCTCTCCGGGACCTCGTTCCCCTCCATGCAGACCATGGTGTTCAGCAGTGGAGTGACAGATTCTAACGGCTATTGGAACAGCAGCGGGCAGCTCCTTGTGCAGTTTGTACAGCCCGTGTCGGCAGGGTTTTCGTTCTCTCTGCAATTCGGGTTGAACAACCCGCTCAAGTACCAGGACGCCGTCGATGTCTACCTCGCTACCTCTGGGGTAAGGACGTTTCCTGCCCTCCTCACCCCTGGCAAGGGGCTGTACGCTCCCCTCTACATCATTGGCTTCAGACACGCCAAACTCTACCAAAGCGACCCGTCAGTGTCGTCCACCAATACCCTCGTCCTCGAGCTGAACTTCTTCGGTTCCATCCCAGCCAACTGGCAGAACTCCTCCATTCAGATCCTACTCTCCAACCTCGTCAGCAGCGCCACTCGCTTGCAGAATATCATCCTGTCCAACGTTCGCAACGGAGGAGCAGACCTCTTCGGCGGGGTAGCAAGGTGGAGCCAAGGGGACGGCAACTTGACCTTGACGCTTGTACAGAGCCCCGTTGACAACGTGACCTACGCCTTCTCCTTCTCATTGACGAATCCTGTCAGGCAACAGGAATCTCCCGCAGTCTCGATCGCCGCGTTTGGCCTCACAGTCCTGCCGTTGGAAGTCTCTAAGGGTCAGGGCAACGCCGCGCCCCTTCTGATCGCCGGGTTTGACACGAAGTCCATCTCCCAGTCTACCGTTTCGCAGGCGGTTGACAACCAGATAACCGTCAGCTTCAGTCTCAACATCGACCTGTCTGCGATATCAGGAGTGTATGTGGAAGTCTCAGGTTTGGTGGGCAGCAGCACTCTTGGCGATCAGAACTTGGCAGTCTCAAGTCCTAACGCCTCTGCTCTTGCGAGCACAGCATCGTGGTTGCAGAATGAGAAGATAAGAGTCGCTCTCTTGACAGATCTCAACCGACAGAAGGTTGTCATCTTCACCGTCACCTTGAGGAACCCGCTGGTGCCAAACTCGGCTACTCCCGTGTACATCTCCGTCTCATCAGCTGGAAAGCAGCTCTGCATGTCAGAGATGGAGGCGGGGACCGGAAACAAACATCCTTTGTTAATCGCTGGCTTCTCCTACCTGCAGCTCGGACAGTCCAACGCTGACGTGTGGGGTTTCAACGAGCTAACGGTCACGTTGAGTTTGAACTGCGATCTTACCTTCGCCGACGGAGAAAACTTCCTCCTCTTGACAGGTCTTGCTCGAGACGTCCTTCTGTCGCTCTCTACAGTGCCTGTACTCCACATCTCCAACTTCGCCTCCTCCAACTCGTCAGCATACTTCGACCCGTACCTGGGAGGCCTCAGGTTCAACTTCACCAGGCAGACAGCCTTCTATGCACAGGTAACGCGATGGCACCCTCTATTGCTCTCTCAGCCCACTGACTGTTGCTGTCGCAGCTGCAGTACGTGTTCCGCATCACCGTCGTCAACTCTCAGTCCGTCCTCAGACCGAGCCAGCTCTTCCTCGCCTCCTCGGGCAAGATAATCGTCTCTCCTTCCCTTGTGGTCTCCTCCCCTGGGATCACTGCCTACCAGACCCTAGCTTCCTTCGCCCAGGACTTCGCCGCCACCTGCGTCATCGATGGAACCTGGACCAGCAAGACAGCTGGCAGCTGGGTGGGCAGGAGGGACTTTGCGGCAGTTCAGCGCAACGGCATGCCCATCGTTACCGACCACCCCGAGATCTTCGGCTTCGAGGCTCTCTGGACGCAGACGGACGGCAGGCTGATCGTGCAGACGTCATGGCAGGGGGCGATGGAGCGAGGGGGCGTCTACTCCTTCTCCTTCACCCTGCTGAACCCCAGCAAGGTGCAAGCGGCGAGCGAGATCTCGATCTTCGTGGACGGGCCCGACCCCATCTGGAACGAGACGATGACGTTAGGGGTGGATGGGAACGGCCAGCTGGACCCCAGCAGAAGCCCGTTGAAGACGGTCACGACCGCCTGGCTGGCCGCAAACATCTCACAGAACTCTTCGATCCCCGGGCATGCGAACCTCCTGACCGTCACGTTTGCCAGCTGGACAGACATCCCAGCGGGCTCTGCTATTTCCCTGGTCGGGCTGACTGGCTCATCCACCAGCGACACCTCCTCGCTGCCCCTAGTCCAGGTAGGAGGCTTCCTGCTGGGCTCGGCAGCCTGGGCCAAGCAGCAGGGCCAGCTGGTGGTATACAGCTCGACGAAGCTGAACGCGACTGTTGTTCACTCGTTTTCGTTTGTCCTTCAGAATGGCCCGACGGGTCAAACTGCTCGATCGGTCTCCATCTCCGTGGCAGGCGCCGACGCTCTCCCCGCAGTGGCGATGCAGACGGATTTCTCCATCCCTGTCCCCCCGGGGTTCACCGCCCTGGACCTCGCGCCCTTGCGGATCCTCGGGAGCTCGTTCCTGATCAAGAGCATCGGTCAGACAGCATCCTACCCCGCCGCGCTCAACTCCATCGTCATCACCCTGATGACCTCCGTCGATCTTAACGTTGGGGTAAGGCTGACGATCTCCGGGCTGACTGGCTCGTCTACCCCTGACTCGACTCTCAACGCAAGTTTCCCGCTAGTCTCTCCGCCTCTGTTCTCCTCGGGGGTCTGGACTAGAGCAGTCGGGGTCATAGTCTTCACGCTCACAGAGCCGATCGTAGCTGGAGTTTCATACAGCTTCTCCTTCAAGCTGCAGAATCCATCAACAGCCCAGTCGTCTCCCTCCGTCTACATCGTTGCCAGCTCCTCCATCGTCACCAGCGCTCTCATGGACAAGGATACAACGAGCGCGACCGCCGAGACTGGCACAGTAGCAGGGGATGCGAGCCCCCTCAAGGTGTACGGTCCATCGTTCATCGTCAAGAGGATAGAGCAGTCTACAACGTTCCCTTCCAGCAGCAACTTCTTGCTTGCCTCGTTTGCTCTCAATTCCGCTATCACCACCTCTGACAGGACTTTCATCCACCTCAGAGGGTTCCAGGGAGCTGCTACCCCATCTGCAAGCGGGTACACAGTCTCCTCCTCCTCTCCGGTGATCCAGGGCTCTGGAACCTGGAGCAACTCAGGAGCAGCACTGCCCATCCTCGAGGTCGACCTGGTACCCAACGTCACCCTACCAGCTGGAACCCTGGTGAACTTTACCTTCTCCCTCTTGAACCCCTCCAGCGAGCAACCTTCTTCTCCTGTCACCATCACTCTCACCCAGTACCAGTGGACCAGCCTGATGGATGTCAATTCCAGCAAAGTCCTTGACTTCCCCGGCTCGGTCCCAGGGGACGCCGTCCCCTTGAAGGTCAACAGCCCGGCCTTGATCGTGAGCAAGATCGCCCAGTCCTCTCCCTTCCCCGACGACAGTAACACTCTGGTCGTCTCCCTGGCTGCCAACGTCGATCTGTACGCCTCCTCCACCGTCGACATCTACGGCCTCTACGGGAGCGCCAGCCCTGACGGCCCGCTCGAGATAGCATACGAGGGAGGCAAGACAACATTTCCAGTCTTCGGCTCCACGTGCATGTGGTACCAGTCCGTCGGGCGGCTGACGCTGGAGGTAGGTTTTGATCAGATGCTGGTAGCTGGTCAGCTGGTCGTCCTGAACGTGACCTTGCTCAATCCCGGATCCGCAAACTCCGAGTCTGTGGTCTATGCAGAGGTACAGGCGATGATGATGACAACGAATGTTTTGGTCAGCATAACTCTGCCCTCCGTCATGATGGGTACGGACAGTCCCAGCAGCACTCCAGCATACTACAGGGTCGGGGACAACCTTCCCTTCCGAGTCTACTCTCCTGGCTTTCAAGGGGCGCAGATCCAGCAGAACTCAACTCTGCCACGAGCGAGCAACAGAATCTCTACCCAGTTCGTCTCCAACGAACCGTGTAGCTCTACAACCAACATCACCATCGTCCTGACCGGTCTCATCGGGTCCAACACAACCTCCACATCCTCCTTCTCGGTCTCCCTGTCGGAGGACGGCGGCACGGCCATCGCGACCTCCTCTTGCTCTTGGACGCAACAGACTGGAACCCTCCAGTTCATGTCGTTGGGCGACATCGTCCCCGGTTTGAGTTACACCTTCAGTTTCATCCTCAGGAACCCGAGTCGAGCACAAGATCCCCCAGCTTCCGTCCAGCTGCTCCTCCAGTGTGGAGTTTTCCAGTTCATCACCAACCCGGGGGTAGACGTTGACTGCATATCGACGAGCTCACTACAAGACTGCTCTCCTCTCTATGTCAAGAACCCTTCCTTCCTGATCAAGACCATAGTTCAAAGCTCCCCTGTCATCAACCAACTGAACGTCATCACAGTCACCCTGTCGCCCAACATCGACCTGCCCCCTGCTCTCCGGATCACGATCTCAGGCTTGAAGGCCTCGGCGTCTCCCGACTCGGAGGAGATCGTTGTAACAGGTGGATACAGGACAGACAGCACGACGAGCAGCTCTTACACCTTCTTCTCAGATGTCAGGGCCTTCCGAGGCGGCTCTTTCAGCATCATTGCCAACTCCAGCACATGGCCAGCAAGGGACGGGCACAGTCTGCTCAACCATCAGGGGTCGCTGCTGATCATGGGAGGCTGGGGGGGTCCCAACGGGGGAGGTTACCTCAACGACGTGTGGAGATCCAGGGACGACGGAGCCACCTGGTCCGTGGTGACGTCAGCGAGTAGTTGGAACGTTCGCGGGTACTTTGCAAGCCTGATCCTCGAAGATCGGCTCTACGTCTTCGGCGGCCAAGGCTTTGCGAGCGGCAGGGCCCAGCTGTTCAACGACGTCTGGAGCTCCACCGACGGCCTCAGCTGGACCTCAGTCACTTCAGCCGCTGCCTGGTCGCCAAGGTGAACTTCCTTGCTGCTCTACGAGGCCGAGAGACTGACCGTCTGACTGCGCACAGGTTTCAGCACGGGCTGATCAAACAGATCCTCAATGGCAGGAAGACTCTCTTCCTCACCGCGGGAATCAGCTGCTCGTCTGGGTGCACACGATACAACACCAACCTCCCCGGCTGCCAGCTCCTGACCAGCTCGCGCTCCAGCTGCTGCGTCCAGTACCAAGACTGCGCGGAGTACAAGGCCGTCAACGACGTTTACAGCTCCACGGACAACGGGGCAACTTGGAAACTTGCCACAGCATCCGCAGCCTGGGCCCCGAGGGCCTCGTTCGGCTTCGCTGCCGATCACAACGGAACCATGTACGTGTACGGGGGGACGTCGGGGGTGGACACCTTCTATGGGGACTTGTGGAGGAGCAACGATGGTGTCTCCTGGTACCAGGTTCAGGCGTCCGTGGCCGTGGGGTCGAGGGCAGGAGGAAGGCTCATTGCTACCTCTCAGTGCCTGTTCTACATCGGAGGATGGAACCGGGCCGGGGCCCAGGACTACCCAAACGACTTGATCACTCCCTAGTAACAGGTTCTATTAAACTTCTACATCCTCCTCTTAGTACAGCTCCAAAGGAGACTGATGGGTAGCAAAGTCAGTCAAACAGGTGAAGGAATAGCAGGAGCAGGAGCAGGAGCAGGAGCAGAGGAGCAGGAGAGCAGAAGGAGGAGGATGAAGATGAGGGAGTGCAGGAGGAGGAGGGTTCGCACTCACATTCATTCTGCGCCCAGCCCAGGCAGCCTGCGCAAACCTAGAAGACTGCAGAGAAACTATGAGCCGACTGTACTCCAACCAAGAAGTAAAATACACACCACGGCGCCAGAGCCACCGTCCTCTCTCGCTAGGGAAGCAAGGGGGGAAGCCCCAACGTTAGCAATCGATCCAAACTATCAACATAAATCAGTAAAAATGCCTCAAGCAGATGTAGGGTGGAGACGCGGGTGAAAAGTGCAACAGAAGAGTTGCTGAGTTCGAGGCTCGCGGAAACTTGGGGCAAAACACAACACAGAGAACAGGGGAAGATCAGAGTATAAGCTTTGCCAGAGAAAAACTGTGAGAAGGTTCATCGATGGGGATCAGAAAAAACAAATTGGAATAAATTCAAAGCATCAAAAAACGAATCAAGGATGCACCATGGAAGCACAAAGAAGGAAACTTCATAGCAGAAGAGATTACATATAGAGTAAGGAGCAGACAACACAAAGAAAAATGCGGGAAAGCAGAGAAAATTCACAACGTGACAGTGAGGAACAAGGAGGCAGGAGTAGCGGGAAAGGCAGAGGAGGCTGAAGCTAAGGGGAGGAAGGGAAGGCAGGAGAGGATGGGGGAGGGGAGGGAGTAGGAGCAGGGAGGAGGTGGGTGGGTGGGGTAGGGAGCGACGCAGGAGAGCCCATTGCTGCGTCAGCATTTACCATGAGCTTCTGAAGCGCCATCCTTCGCCTGGAATAGATATATAAAAGCTTTTAAAACTACAAAAAATATTGTAACATTTTAAAAATAATGTAAAGTTTTTGTGTTGGTACATTAATTTTATCCAAATGCGGTAGTAGTAGAAAAGTTTTGTCACCGACCCCTCGATAGAACGAAAAACACCCGCAAATGTCCTTCTCGGGGGGTGGGTTTGCCTCTTCGTACCATAATTCAATAGTACACTTTAAAATTTACTCATTATAATATAAAACGATTTTTTAGATTCTGTGAGGAAGGTTACGAGCCTCCCTGGCCCGCTCTTGTCGGGGCGCATATCAGGGCAGGGAGGAGGGAGGAGGGAGAAGGGAGGAGGAGGGAGCAAGTAGGAAGGAAGAAGTTGGGAGGAGCAACAAGCAAGCAACGAGCAGGACATGTCGTTTCCAGGAGCAGATGGTGTGTCATAGATCATGTTGTCTGAGACGACATCAGCATAACAGTAATCTGGTCGGAGGTTGAGATCGAGGTTCCCACCGAGCCATGGGCGCATTTTCGTACAACGCGATGACATGGCAGCATCGAGGCATGAGGAAGATCTGGTGTCTACTCTGCGTCCTGCTGCTGCCTGCGATATCCTCCTCTGACTTGGAAGATAATGAGGAAAGAGTCAAGAAGGAATTGTACGCTAATGTCGACCTTACTTATGAACATGAGATGTCGGTGATCCCGCAGAGTGGGCATCAAATCCAGATGACCGTCCCTCAGCGACTTGTTTGGCAAAGAGCATTTCAGGCTGCGAGGAAAGCCGGTGCAAGCGTCCATGAGGCGCAGATCGTGGCCCTCCGGAGTGCGGCCGATGGGAGGGTTCAGCCGTACGTGGGGGATGGCGAGGGTCGGGAGAAGACCATGTGCTGTACGGCCTGCCAGCTCGAGATGCCCAGGTCTGATATCAGCGCTCACTACAAGACCCCTTGGCATGCCTTCAACACTGAGCGGAAAGTTCTCGGGCTGATGCCTCTGCCCTTAGCGGCGTTCGAGCAGCGGGTACGGAGCATCGAGGAGGGTGATAGGGGCCAAGAGGAGAAGGAGCAGAACGCTCTGCAGAGCGAGAAGGCAAGGAACGAGCTCCGGCATGCGAGCAAGAAGAATACGAAGCTCGCTGCGGACATTCAGAGACTGTATTGTCTCAACGAGACTGACCACAAAGTACAAGAGAAGTTAGTGTTCCTGGAGATGCGTAAGCTGCAGGCAGAAAGGCTGCTCGATACAAAGCTGGGGGGACTGAAATCTTTGGAGCAAAATGGCACGGAGGATGGAGGCCCGGACAAGGCAGATAGGGGGCGAAGAACAGGAAAGAAAGTAAGCGAAGCTACTTGGCCGAAAGCATCACTGCGCTGACATAATGCACTTGCAGAGACCTGAGAAGGAAAAGAAAAAAGTGTTGAATCCAAGAAACAGCCGTCCAGTCCCACTCAATTCAGTGAAGATGGAAACAATCAATTTCAAACAAGTACGCAACTTTCTTCAAGACCTTGTCTACTGACTCCCTGACTTGGCCCTGAACTTGGCAGGTTTGCCCTGAGCTCTGCCCATTCGACGCCCATGTATCAGCATCTCTGGATCAAAACCTTGAGCACATGCGGGATGTTCATGGCTTCATCGTTCCTTCCCCTGACAAGACGAAGGACGTCGGGCAGCTCGTGTTGTACCTCGTCAGAAAGGAACTTCTCACCTTCCCCTTTTTGACGTGCTTCTGACGAGATTCCTCCAGGTTTACGTCGGATTTGCGTGCGTCTTCTGTGGCTGCTCCTTCCCGACATACACGGTGAGAGCAACATGTCTGGAAGTCTCCGATGATCTTTGGTGCGTTGGCAGGCGGCACAAGCGCACATGGAGTCGAAGGGCCATCGCAAGCTGCGCACTGACGATGCATGGAGAGAGGAATTCAGTTGTTTTTACAATCTTGGAGCAGCTGGGGAAGGGGTTGGAAAGGAGGAGCAAGGAGTGGAGGAGGTAGAGGGAGGGGAAGAGGGAGAGGAAGGGCAAGAAAGCTTTGACCAGCAAGAAACGGGGGACATAGCGGAAGAGCTATCAAAACTGGCCTTCGCAGCAGATCCGCAGGAGTTCCCCGAGCCTCTCAAGGAAGCAAGTAATGCGGGTGCCGGGAGAGACCGTCAGGAAAATGCCAGAGACGGAAAAGTACCCAGCAGAGAGAAGAATGTGATGAAACTTGATGCTCTCAGGGAGAAGTACAAGGTTGGGAGCTGGGCAGGAAGGGCAAGATTAGCGAAGTTGGAGCGCATGCGCGAAGACCCTCGATTGCAAGTCAAAGCAGCGCAATGGAGGGGAAAGGCAGAGACGCTGCAGCAGGTACATCAAGACATCCCATCCTACTGGCTCTGACCCGGTTGATAGCACATTGTCAAGAACAGGCAGATCGGCCGAGCGCGATCGGGATGGAGGCAGACTAGCGCCGTTGCAAACTTCCTACAGAATCAAGACCAGCAACAGGCCCACCAGATGTCCAATGAAACGTCCATCGTCCCGAGAGAGAGCTTCGACCAGGCCCTCTGGTTCCAACAGGTCAAGGAGGGAGGCTCAAAAATCGCCGCCAAGGCTGTGGAGCAGCAGAAAGGAAGGGAAGTGAACCTGCAGCAGAAGAACTATTATACCCGCAAGGCCTCCCTGGGCCGTCAGAACATCAAAATCCTCAACAGCGGATACAGGTCGTAAAGGATGTATGTGATGTAGTGTTGCATAACAAGAGATTGGTCCCGCCTTCGTTGATAGCACATTTATGCACACGCTGAGATTCATCTCTGCCCCTCGTCTCGTCTCTTTGGATCCGCCTCTCCGATGGAGAAGAAGTTGTCTATCTTGGATGAGAGGGTAGATTGCAACTGTAACCGAGTCAGCCCCTTGGTTCCATAGAAAAGATCGAGTCACTTTACCCAGGAAAACACGTGCGGTTTATCCTTGAACCTTGGATCTTTCATATCGGACGAGAGAATGATCGCAAAACATGCCAACGCGCTCAACGCAATCTGCGGTTTGCAAGAGAAATCGTCAGCACGTTCTCTGCGAAACTTCACATTCGCAACCATTCGTACATGCACATCCTCATGTATGTCAGCAACTTCGCACTTATGACCAGCGTTACCCCACACCCTCTAACACAACCATTTCAATCATTGTGATCCACACGAACACTATGAATCGTTGCTCTCATTATCATCTCCATCTCCGTCTCCATAACCAAACACCTTCATCTCCGTCTCCATCCTCTCCATAATCGGCATCATCATCACCACCGTCACGATCATCATCAGCATGCATCCGATCTTCTTACCCCCATCTTTCCTGCCCGGCCGCTCGTCTTGCTCCCCTCCAGCCCCGGCCACCACCCGCGTCCGTCGTTGCCTTCGAACATTGCCCTAGCGCCCTCATAGCTTTACTCAATAGCTTTACTCAATTTATTTGAATAGCAATTATAGAGGACAGTTGTGATACATAGGAAATATAATAGAAAATACTAAAAGATAGAAAAGGCAGAAGTTTGTTGGAGGCGATGGAGAAACGAAACGGCAGGGGGGAGCGATCGGAAGGGGAGAGGGGAAGAGGGGAGATGGCGGGAGAGGAAGGGGTGGAGAGAGGGGAGAAGGCAAGAGATGAGAAGGGAGAGGGAGGAAGGGGAGGAAGGGGAAGTCAGAGCAAAGGACTCGACAGAAAGTTCAGACTCAACATAGAGCGATGGGGTCGTTTTGTTGGACATGCCCTGCACAGTCGTTCATGATAGGATCATGTGCCATGCTCATGATGATATTTGTTGGAAACCAGTCCCGACTGAACCTGCTGCTGCTCGCAGATGTCGTGGGAAGAGTTCAAGAAAGGTTTCGACCAAACCATGGAGGTGACATTTCTGTACCTGCCGATCACTGAAAGCATTCTAACGAGCATGCTGCAAGGACATCAGCAACTCAACAGCACAAGCTGTCGACAGCCCGTGCTCTCCGTTCGCTGCCATCGGCGTGAAGAGTGAGATGTTCAGCTGCACGAGGCTCAAGGCGGGAGTGGACACCATGGCCGAGGTCAGGCAGTGCACGTTGTATGTGGACGCCTGAGCGTGAGCAGGTTGGGCAGACGATCTTGGAGGCACCGGGGACAGCGATTGACGGGATGAGCAAGGGATGCAGGGAGACGAAGATAGGCGAGATTCCCGACAGCGCCATCAGCGGCATCACGATGGCGCTGCGCCATGAGCAGGGAGATGAGAAGCGTATTCCGGCCTGAATGTCACAGTGAAGCAAGCTGTTGAAATCCTTGCGACTTGTTCTTGTCCTTGTTCCTCTCTTACACTTGCTCTGATCTCACTGCATCTCATCCCTCAGGCCCTCGCCCTCCTCTCCTCGTCCTCAGTTGCTCTCCATGGGAAATTGTCCGCAGAATTTGAGCTGCTCCACCAAGCTGCCAAGCGGCCCATCCGCCGAGTATCTCTCCTTGAAAGAGTTGATCTAGACAGAATCATGAGAACGTAGCAGATGGAAGAGAGTAGCAAGGGGCTAGAGCACGAGAGCAGGAGCAGGAGCAGGAGGAAGGAAGGGCGAGACAGGAAAGAGGAGGGAAGGGGGAGGGGGAGGTAGACAGTAGAGCTCCCACCATCCCGTAGGCAGTCGCTTCATAATCCTTGAAAGACACCTGACCATCGGACGACAAACTTGTGACTCCTTGAACAAAGATCTTCCTCGGCTCCTTCTTGGCGAGCACAATCTACAATGATCGTCATTATCATAGTCGTCTTCCTTGTCCTCTTTTTCCTCCTCATCCTTCTCCCCCCCCCGCTTCCCCTCCCTCCTTCTCCCCCTCCTCCTCTTCTCCCTCCTTCTCTTCCCACCCCCCCCTCTCCCTTCCTCCTCCTCCTCCTCCTCATCATCATCATCCTTGTCATAGCAAACATAAGAGACCACTCTCGCCGTGTCCTAACCTTGCGGAGTTCGAGCATATCCTCAGGGACAGACGTGTAGTATTTGTACATCTTGATCCCTTCCTCCACATCCGCCGTGGCCTGCAAACAGAAAGTCATCAGGTGCCTCCTGCTCCTGCTCCTGCTCCTGCTGCTCCTGCTCCTGCTCCTGCACTCCCCTGCTTCTTCCTGCTGCTGCTGCTGCTCCTCCTCCTCCTCCTCCTCCTCCTCCTCCTCCTCCTCCTCCTGTCTTCACCTTATACACATTCAGTTTCTCCAGAAACGCGGCCATCGCCTTGCGGCCGACGCTGAGAATCTTGCTGCGATCTAAGGAGATGATGACGTCATCGTCCTTCTTCACGATGCTGACGAGGCCCTCCCCGGCCTCCAGCAGCACTCGGAGGATCGCATAGCGAGCTTGCATGTGCGCCTACATTGTTGTCACCCCCCCCTCGCTCTGTGACCACCTGCTCCTCTCTCTTCCTCCTCCTCTCCCTCCTCTCTCAGCTCACTTGTCTCCACTTGCTGTTCTCCGGCGTGAAGTACTCGAGCGAGAGCAGCCCGGCCCTCACCATGATCAGCCAGTTCACGTACGTCACGTCCGAGACCTGAGAAGCTGCTGAGCCGCAGACATCCAGCACTGCCGGGGGCCAGCTGAGATTTTCCTCACCTCGTCCGCTGAGGCGGAGTGGCCAAAGAGGGAGAGGATCTCGGGGACGCAGCTGAGAAAGATCCCAACGCTCTCTGCACGGCATTCTTCATAGCTGGAGCTCTCCTGGGAAGGGGTGAGAAAAATGCCTTCGCTGGAGGAGACGAGGAGGAAGAGGAGAGAGGGAATGAGGCAGGCAGGGAGGCAGGCAGGGAGGGAAGGGGGAGGAGGGAGGAGGGAGGAGGGAGGAGGGAGGCGGGCACGAAGGGAGACAGGGAGGGTAAGGGAGGGAGGGAACGGAAGGAACGGAGGGAGGGAGGGAGAAGAGGAGAAGAGGAGCGGTGGTTGTAGAGGAGGAGAGATCAAGGCAGAAGGGCAGGCGAGGCGATAGAAGACGACCAGGGCCAACAGAAAAGGAGGAGGAGACGAGTATGCGGAGAAAGTTGTACTTCTCCTCTTTGTGTGAAGGGGAGGAGGAGTGAGGAAAGAGGAAGAGGGAAGGGATGGGGACACATGGCATGCAGGAGAAGGGAGGAATCTGACTCACGGCTCCGAACTTGCCGTCCCATGTCTCTCCAGGCTTGTAGAAGGTCTCGATGGAGTTGCCGGTGAAAGGATGTTTGACCTGCGGCTGTCAGTTAGCAGGAACCAGGCGGGTCGTCATCCTCCACTTACCTTGTTCTTGTCAAAGTTCAGAGCCCCGTCGCTCCCCTCCTTCAACAGCTTCCCGCTCCTGCTCGCCCCTCGTGAGACGCCAGGGACCAGATCGAGGAGAGAGCTGGGAGGAGGGAGGGAGGAGGGAGGAGGGGCAAGGAGCAACAAAGATGGGGATGCGCAAGGCGATCACTAGCTGAGACAGCAGGTCGACGAAGGAGTCTGCCAGAGGACGAGGACGATGGTCGTACCCGTGACCAAGGAGCTCATGGATAGCAACTTGAACCTGAGACCAGAGACAGGTTCAGCGCCAACTTCACCATTCTGGCATACCTATCCCTCGAGCTCGGGGTCAGAGCCCCCCCCTCCCCTGTGAGGTCCTGGTCACTAGGATCGCATCCCCAGCCTTCATCTCCTCTCTCTATCGGTGCAGCTCCTCCGATCCTCCCGTGATCTCGTGAGGGTGGCGGTGTGCGGCCCCGG